TACAGTGTTACCCACAACAACTGTCAGGTTCAACACTACAGTGTTACCTACAACTGTCAGGTTCAACACTACAGTGTTACCCACAACAACTGTCAGGTTCAACACTACAGTGTTACCCACAACAACTGTCAGGTTCAACACTACAGTGTTAACTACAACAACTGTCAGGTTCAACACTACAGTGTTACCCACAACACTGTCAGGTTCAACACTACAGTGTTACCTACAACAACTGTCAGGTTCAACACTAGTGTTACCCACAACAACTGTCAGGTTCAACACTACAGTGTTACCTACAACAACTGTCAGGTTCAACACTACAGTGTTACCTACAACAACTGTCAGGTTCAACACTACAGTGTTACCCACAACAACTGTCAGGTTCAACACTACAGTGTTACCTACAACAACTGTCAGGTTCAACACTACAGTGTTACCTACAACAACTGTCAGGTTCAACACTACAGTGTTACCCACAACACTGTCAGGTTCAACACTACAGTGTTACCCACAACAACTGTCAGGTTCAACACTACAGTGTTACCTACAACAACTGTCAGGTTCAACACTACAGTGTTACCTACAACAACTGTCAGGTTCAACACTACAGTGTTACCCACAACAACTGTCAGGTTCAACACTACAGTGTTACCTACAACAACTGTCAGGTTCAACACTACAGTGTTACCCACAACTGTCAGGTACAACACTACAGTGTTACCCACAACTGTCAGGTTCAACACTACAGTGTTACCTACAACAACTGTCAGGTTCAACACTACAGTGTCACCCACAACTGTCAGGTTCAACACTACAGTGTTACCTACAACACTGTCAGGTTCAACACTACAGTGTTACCTACAACAACTGTCAGGTTCAACACTAGTGTTACCCATAACAACTGTCAGGTTCAACACTACAGTGTTACCCACAACAACTGTCAGGTTCGCCTACTGTGTAGGCGAAACGTTTCAAAATAAAGATACCTAACTGTTGCATATGTGTCTTACCTAACAACCTGTCGGTATTTTATACCATTTTAATGTTCAACCTACAACAACTGTCAGGTTCAACACTACAGTGTTACCTACAACACTGTCAGGTTCAACACTACAGTGTTACCCACAACACTGTCAGGTTCAACACTACAGTGTTACCCACAACACTGTCAGGTTCAACACTACAGTGTTACCCACAACAACTGTCAGGTTCAACACTACAGTGTTACCCACAACTGTCAGGTTCAACACTACAGTGTTACCCACAACTGTCAGGTTCAACACTACAGTGTCACCTACAACAACTGTCAGGTTCAACACTACAGTGTCACCCACAACTGTCAGGTTCAACACTACAGTGTTACCCACAACTGTCAGGTTCAACACTACAGTGTCACCCACAACTGTCAGGTTCAACACTACAGTGTTACCCACAACTGTCAGGTTCAACACTACAGTGTTACCCACAACTGTCAGGTTCAACACTACAGTGTCACCCACAACTGTCATGTTCAACACTACAGTGTCACCCACAACTGTCAGGTTCAACACTACAGTGTTACCCACAACTGTCAGGTTCAACACTACAGTGTTACCCACAACTGTCAGGTTCAACACTACAGTGTCACCTACAACAACTGTCAGGTTCAACACTACAGTGTTACCCACAACTGTCAGGTTCAACACTACAGTGTCACCCACAACTGTCAGGTTCAACACTACAGTGTTACCCACAACTGTCAGGTTCAACACTACAGTGTTACCCACAACAACTGTCAGGTTCAACACTACAGTGTTACCCACAACAACTGTCAGGTTCAACACTACAGTGTTACCTACAACAACTGTCAGGTTCAACACTACAGTGTTACCCACAACTGTCAGGTTCAACACTACAGTGTCACCCACAACAACTGTCAGGTTCAACACTACAGTGTTACCCACAACAACTGTCAGGTTCAACACTACAGTGTTACCCACAACACTGTCAGGTTCAACACTACAGTGTTACCCACAACAACTGTCAGGTTCAACACTACAGTGTTACCCACAACAACTGTCAGGTTCAACACTACAGTGTCACCCACAACAACTGTCAGGTTCAACACTACAGTGTTACCCACAACAACTGTCAGGTTCAACACTACAGTGTCACCCACAACAACTGTCAGGTTCAACACTACAGTGTTACCTACAACAACTGTCAGGTTCAACACTACAGTGTTACCTACAACAACTGTCAGGTTCAACACTACAGTGTTACCCACAACAACTGTCAGGTTCAACACTACAGTGTTACCCACAACAACTGTCAGGTTCAACACTACAGTGTTACCCACAACAACTGTCAGGTTCAACACTACAGTGTTACCCACAACTGTCAGGTTCAACACTACAGTGTTACCTACAACAACTGTCAGGTTCAACACTACAGTGTTACCTACAACAACTGTCAGGTTCAACACTACAGTGTTACCCACAACAACTGTTAGGTTCAACACTACAGTGTTACCCACAACTGTCAGGTTCAACACTACAGTGTTACCTACAACAACTGTCAGGTTCAACACTACAGTGTTACCCACAACAACTGTTAGGTTCAACACTACAGTGTTACCCACAACTGTCAGGTTCAACACTACAGTGTTACCTACAACAACTGTCAGGTTCAACACTACAGTGTTACCTACAACACTGTCAGGTTCAACACTACAGTGTTACCTACAACAACTGTTAGGTTCAACACTACAGTGTTACCTACAACAACTGTTAGGTTCAACACTACAGTGTTACCTACAACAACTGTCAGGTTCAACACTACAGTGTTACCCACAACAACTGTCAGGTTCAACACTACAGTGTTACCCACAACACTGTCAGGTTCAACACTACAGTGTTACCTATAACAACTGTCAGGTTCAACACTACAGTGTTACCCACAACACTGTCAGGTTCAACACTACAGTGTTACCCACAACTGTCAGGTTCAACACTACAGTGTTACCTACAACAACTGTCAGGTTCAACACTACAGTGTTACCTACAACACTGTCAGGTTCAACACTACAGTGTTACCTACAACAACTGTTAGGTTCAACACTACAGTGTTACCCACAACACTGTCAGGTTCAACACTACAGTGTTACCCACAACACTGTCAGGTTCAACACTACAGTGTTACCCACAACAACTGTCAGGTTCAACACTACAGTGTTACCCACAACAACTGTCAGGTTCAACACTACAGTGTTACCCACAACAACTGTCAGGTTCAACACTACAGTGTTACCCACAACAACTGTCAGGTTCAACACTACAGTGTTACCTACAACTGTCAGGTTCAACACTACAGTGTTACCCACAACAACTGTCAGGTTCAACACTACAGTGTTACCCACAACAACTGTCAGGTTCAACACTACAGTGTTACCTACAACAACTGTCAGGTTCAACACTACAGTGTTACCCACAACAACTGTCAGGTTCAACACTACAGTGTTACCTACAACTGTCAGGTTCAACACTACAATGTTACCCACAACACTGTCAGGTTCAACACTACAGTGTTACCCACAACAATTGTCAGGTTCAACACTACAGTGTTACCCACAACAACTGTCAGGTTCAACACTACAGTGTTACCCACAACAACTGTCAGGTTCAACACTACAGTGTTACCCACAACAACTGTCAGGTTCAACACTACAGTGTTACCTACAACAACTGTCAGGTTCAACACTACAGTGTTACCCACAACACTGTCAGGTTCAACACTACAGTATTATAGCATCAATTTGTTTACTGTCGTTTTATTTTTTTAAATATGTACGAAAAAATTCCAGTTAATTCCAACTATAGTGGAACCTTGACTTACAAGTTTAATCCATTCCAGGAGCTAGCTCGTAACTCAATTTACTTGTATATCAAATTAATTTTCCTCATTTAAATTAACTGAAAAGCCATTAATTTATTCCTGCACTCTGGAGAGACGAGAAAAAATGCTTGAATATGACGCTATTATCAACTGTACGGCTTATTTATCTATCACAATTCATTTAATATGACATAATAAACAATATAATTAACACAGAAACATGATACAGGTACCATCCGACTTACGACCAAGCTTGGTTCCGACCAACCGGTCGTAAGTCAAAATGGACGCAAGTCGAACCTTTGAAAATTGCCGACATATTGGGTAGGGCATAATGTAAAAACTTTCCTATATAAACTACCTACATAATACTGTAATGTAATGTACAATCATTATTTCATTCTTTTTACCATAATTTACTTTTATTGTTATTTTTTAATTATTTATGTACTGTATATAATGTATACATGGTAGTGAACTGTATTGTAAATTTTACATCGCATACAGTATCATATGTTACTGTTATCTTTATGTATTGTTGACACAGTGGAATGGAAGAATACCACTGGTAGTGTCATCCTGCCAGAATGTTGTATAACCTATACCCTAAGTAAAGAGAAACAACTCTGGAACATGTGTAATACGTAGCTGGCTGGCTGACTGAATGTGGCTGTATCTCTATCTCTCTCTCTCTCACAGGTACATGTAAGTGAAGTTATCATACATAGTATAAATTACCTAGGATAATCCAAAAAATCCAGACAAAGTGCTATACAGTGGATCTGTGCTCCAGTGCCCTAAATTAATAATAATATTATTAAACTATAATAATTGTGTCCACTCATTACTTACCAATAAAATATCTGTAGTCTTAGAGTGAGAGGTGAGTAAACAAGATTAAATGAATAAACGAGAGAGAGAATGAGAGTAGAAGCTTCACGAGTTATGTAAACAAACGTTGTTGTTTTTGTTACCAGCCCGGACACACATGATTTTTGTTCACTCTGTCAAGCCGACCAGAAAAACATCTCATATTTGTTAATTTATATGTTTATATGTTATGTAGCATGTTTATTATATAATTTTGAAAAAGAAATCATAGATGGATTAACCAAAATGTCTATATTAACGTTTTATACACATTTAATGCGCCTCAGTGATTATTATTGTGTTGTTATCATTATTAATATGGCGTCTTCAAGACCAATTACACTCTTAATGAGTGACTCTGAGACAGACAAGCAGACAGAAAGACAAATGACTAAAAATTGTAAGCAATGCAGAAGAGAACTGCTTCGACACTGACGTAAACATTTGTACTGGCAACTAGTGGCAACATTCTGATTATTACGTACATATTATGTACATTATTTTTATTACGTAATTTAGCGAAATGAAGCTCTATTGTTATTGTAATTATTATTATTATTAATTTAGGGAACTGAAGCTCTATTATAATTTATTTTTATTATTATTAATAATAATTTAGAGAACTAGAGCATATATCCAATTCCCTAGATCAAGAGATCCTCACCAGTCAGGAAACCTTGACACTGATGAGGGCCTCTTGATCTAGGGAATTGGATATGTGCTCAACTTCTCTAAAGTAATAATAATAATAATAATAATAATAATAATAAAATAATAATTGCAATAACAATAGAGCTTCAGTTCCCTAAATTAATAATAATTAATGCATTATTATAAGAATGAGAGCTTCAGAATGAAGTCAACTCAGTGCACTGTTTACGTAGCTGTGGGAGCAGTTCTCTCCCACTTTGCTTACATTTTTGACAGTCATTTGGCCAAATTTTGCTTTTCTAACCATGGGTCCTAAGAAAGTAAGTGTAAAGGACAGTGCTGATAAGAAAAAGAGGATGATTTCCATGGAACTAAAGCATGAAATCATAGATAAACAAGAGAGGTGTCCAGGTTTTGGGTTGAGGGGGAAGTGGGGGGGGGGGAAGCTGGCTCGTAACTCAAATATTGGCTCGTAACTCAGAGCAAAAAATTGACTGATCGACGGCTCGTATTTCAAAAAACTCGTATGTTGGGACACTCGTAAGTCAAGGTTCCATTGTACAAGTAATTTTCTGTAATCTTCATATTTCATATACATATTGTACATACATTATAGTGTATGTACATTATATGTAGCACTGAAAACATCCTACTTACATGCATAGCAGTTATATAGCATACAACAGGCAGACAATTTACATAATGCATTATGAAAGTTATTTACAATTGCATTTTTAAATCACTTAGTCCAGCAAATTTGCTTCATTGTTGATAATGAAATAATGACAATTATACACTTACTTGCCTCTCATATTTCACAACATGTAAGTACAGTCATTCTCAAGGCTCCAAACTTAACCATTCCTCTGTTTATTAACTAACTTCAAACTCAGATTGACTTTGTCTAGGACATGCTTTACAGACTTGCTCAACAATGTAAACTTTTTACTGGTTTACCTGTGGCCGGCTTGAGAGACTTTATGGCTGAGCTGGCCAGCTATAGGCCAGACTCTATGGTCTTATTGCTAGTAAGACTCCTCACTGAATTACCTTCAGTATTGAAGTTCTTATCCACATTAAGTTCTAAACATAATTATAGTCAGTGCTCTTATAAAGTTCTTGTATATACCAGTGCAATTTTTCATGTCTTCACAGTACATGCCATTTATTTGTCAATGCACAACTTCATTTACATTTATGAATAACTGCACTATATAGAGGAGCTCTATAAGAGAGCTGACTCTACTTCACAGAAAATTGTACTCTAAAGTAATCTATTGATTCTCTTCATGCAAGTATTATCTTCACCACAGTACTATGTGAGAGTGAGTGAGTTATCTCCAGGAGAGCTACTTCACTCAGCTTGCTCTTATAAACTGCTCTCTCATGGCTATGCCTTCAGTTCAATATTTTTGGATTCCTGCAGCCTCTTGACTTTCTTGTCCTCCCAGTTCTTGATGCATCTCAGTGGTGTACATATTATGCCTGACAATGCAAATATTCCACCGAATACATAGAAGCTGACGCTGTAGTTGCTGGTCAAGTCAACAAATGCACCTGAATGGGAAGAAATACATTCAAAATAACCTTGAAGAATTCAGCAATGTTTATGTACCTGCCAAGGGAGGTTCTCTGATACCATTGAGGGGGCTCTTAATCCAAGGAATTGGACTTGCCCTCCCCTTCCTTGGATCAAACCTGAATCCCTCCCAGGCACTATATGACCATTATGGTTTTAATGCTTTCCCATAAATATAATAATAATAATGTTTATGTAACTCAGAACTAAAGACACAGAAATACAACTAATTTAGCATTAAATTCATACAGAAACTCAAGTGCTTACAGGTGTTGCTGGAATAATTTCAAGAAAGGTTCAAAAAAAAAAAAAAAAAATTATCTGAAAAATATTTATATTCTGAACTGCCTCTTCAAGGGGGGCTCCTTGGCATGAAGAGGCTCTTGGTCTGAGGAATTAGACCTGATGGTCTCCTTCCTCAGACCGAACCTAATTACCCCCCAATCCCCCTTCCCTATCCCACCCTCCCCACCTTCCCTTTTCCCTTTCCTTCCTTTGCTCATCTTTCATGGGGAGCTGATCGTCGAACTCTCCTTCGCCTACATTCCACTCTCATTTTATCGAAACTTGACTTTGGTGACCAGATCTATTCAGTTACCTCTCCTCCTACTCTCTCTAGCCGTAACCCCATCCATCACCAAGGATTACGTTTATGCCTTGGTGCTTTTCGGTCTTCCCCTGTTGAGAGCCTCTATGCAGAAGCGAATGTTCCATCCTTGTCAGATCGCCGTGATGCCCATTGCCTTCGCTACTATGTACGCTCTCATGATCTCCACAATCCTTCCATTTATAGAATGGTCACCAATATTAGCAGACATTTTTTATTTGTTCGCCGCCCCTGTTTGCTCCATCCCTTCTCTCTTTGCCTACATTCGCTCTTGTCTTCTCTTCAGTTACCACCTTTCTATGTTCATGTAGCATCTCACTTCCCCCCCCCCCGGGAAGTTCCAGCTGTTCGGGTCTGTTCTTTCTCACTCCCTTGCTCGAAAGCCCAACTGCCTACGGTAGCCTCCTGCTCTCTTTTTCTTGACCATTTCCACTCTCATTCTCATGCCATCGCAGTGTACACAGATGGCTCTAAGTCTTCTGACAGCGTAGGATTCGCAGCACTGTTTCTGGACAGCATTGTACGAGGGCATTTACTATCTTTGGCTAGCATTTTTTACTACTGAATTGTATGCCATTCTTGCAGCACTTATCTGTATTGCATCTATGCCTGTGTCATCATTTGTGGTTGTCTCAGACTCCCTTAGTGCTTTACAGGCTATACGAAAATTTCCTCTTCAAGGGGGGGGCTCCTTGGCGTGGTGAAGAGGCTCTTGGTCTGAGGAATTAGACCTGTCGGTCTTCTTCCTCAGACCGAACCTAATTACCCCCCAATCTCTCCTCCCCTATCCCATCCTCCCCTTTTCCTTTCCTCCTCCTCCTCCCCACCCCTCCCTTTTGTCCTTCCTCTTTTTGGCCTTTGGGATTTCTCCCACAGGCGCGCTAGTTCCTAGGTAGGGGAAAGGATACCGGGGTCCATCCCATTCCGTTGAGGTTCTTGGCGGTGAAGTAGTTTGCCGTGGAATCTGGATTGCCTGGGGATGTCCCGAACCCTCTCCGGTATCCCGGAGTAGCTTTGGGTGTCTTTCGGGCGACAGGTGTATCTCTGGAAGCCACCTTTCGGATTCCGGGGGTGGTGGCCGAAGGAGGTATGCTTTGTGGCGGATATCCGGCCGCCCTCTCTTTTGTCCACCGAGGTAGCTCGGCAGATGTGAGGTTGCTATCCCGGATTGCTGGTTTACTGGCATGAAGGGTAGGGTATGGCACGGGTTCCATGCTGCATCTGCACTACTAGCGGTCCTCTTGGGCACGGAGGGAGATTTCCAGCCCTTTCATTCCTCCTGGGAACTATTCCTCCCCACTCCCCCCTTTTTTTATTCTTTTTTTATTTTTATTTTCTTTTCTTCTTTCTTTTTTTCCTTAAAAACAAAAAGCAAAGGAGTAACCTAACCATGGAGAACCCAATCCATGAACCCACTACCTCCGGGGCCCCTTCTTGATACCGCACCCCATTCTGACCCTGCCTTGTTTTTAGACCACTCTTCGGACACTCCTGATGCCCCTGTACCTCTTGCTGGTGCTGTTTCCTCACCCGCTTCAGGTACCGGGGTTTCGACTGACTCCTTCGATTTGTCTGAACTCCGCTCTCCTTTGACTATGCTTCCGGCTTCTCCCTCTAGGGTACGGCAATTTTCGAATCGCCTGCCCATTTCATGCCGGACCAACTCCGGTCCTACTCCTAAACACCAACGTCAATCTCCTGATGATGCTCCTTCGTTACCTTCCCATTCTACTCGGAAAAGACCGACACGTCATGCACTCCCTCTCCACGCTCAGTTTCGGACCACACAATGGACTAAATTCTTTACTTTAAGACCGACTTCTTCTTCTGCCTACCTTTCTGACCATAGTATTGGCAAAGCACTCCTGCGTCATGTTGGTAGAGATATTTCATTTCATGCTCTCAAGAGCGGTATGTGCATCGTCACTGTCCAGAATGCTACCCAAGCTCATGATCTTTCTCTCCTTTCGCATATAGATACTACTCCTATCACTATTGAAAAACATCTTTCAGTTCTTGTAGTGGGACTGTCATTCTGCCCCATACCATAGTCCAACAGAATTTCCAGTCATGTGGCAATGACATTCTTGAACAGCTGGAACTCCAGGATCTCCCAATCCTCAAAGTAGACACTTATGTCCTTCCTGCCCGTGGGCAGAGACGTTACCCTTGCAATGTAGCTCGTTTAACTTTTGACAGCTGAGAACTCCCATCCTCTGTATATGTCGCGGGACATCGGTTACAAGTTCGAAAGGTGATACCTACACCGCAACAGTGTAGAAATTGCTGGCGTTTTGGTCACCCAGCGAAATATTGCAGATCTATGGCTGAATGCCCAGTCTGTGGTGCCGACGACCATTCTAATACATCTTGCAGTCAACCTCCATCTTGCCTTAATTGTAATGAAGCTCACCCTTCGTACTCCTGCCATTGCCAGGTCTACTTAAATGAACGTGAAATCCGTTGCCTCAAAGAGGCAGAAGGTCTCCCTTATGCTATGGCAGTTACTCATCTCCGCCTCCAAGGGAGACTACCCCGTGTTTCTTATTCTCGTGTTTCCAAACATCCCCCCCACTTCTGGGGTCCCATCTTCTGCAGCCTCCTCTGTTGTTACCCCTCCCATAGAAATTCCGGCATCTAATCCTTTTGCTGTCCTTGGCTCTGACGTCCCGACTACAACTCAGTCTGTTCTCACATCGCGTCCTTCCTCACAAGCCCCAGTATCGACAAGACCTCGTACGACACCTAATACCAATCGCCCCTCTACTTCTCAGAAGTCCAAAAAATCCACATTGCTCAAATCTTCTTTGCCCCCTTCCTTCCCTTCTTCCACCTCCACACTTTACCTTTCCAGTCTCTGTGCCTAGTTCTTCCCCTCTCTCTGGCTCTATTACAAGTGTGGAGATTCACCCTCCTCCTCGTACTATGCCTTCCACCCCCGTCCCCTCCCAAGTTTCTCCCTTTTCTGCCACCTCCCAGGTTTCTGCCTCTTCTGTCCCCCCCACACTTCATCTCCAGTCCCTTACACTCTTTCCTCCCCCTCTACTTTGGTACAGTCCATTACTGTCCCAATCTTTACTCACCCTCCCCCTTCTATCTCCAATATGGTCTCCCATACATCTTTGAATTCAGAAACACTTGAAGCCATTTCAGAATATATTGCAGAGACTAAACCTTCAATGGACACTGATTCACTTCCTGTTCCTTCTCTTCCCTCTCCTCCATCTTCGCAACGCTCCGTTCCTTCGCTGCTTGAACATCTTCCAATGCCACCACACGTTGACTTTTCTAACCCCTCTAGTCCATAGGTGCCTTTCCCTATGGATTCCTGGTATTTTCTTCATCGCCAATCATGGCCTATTTACAGTGGAATATCCGTGGCCTCGGGTAATCGGGGTGAGCTTCAGATGTTGCTTTCCAGGTTTTCCCATGTTGGTGCTTGCTTACAAGAATCAAAATTACACTCGGCTGTTTTCCAACCTATCTCAGGCTATAATTTATTGTATTCTTCGGATCCTTTCTCAGATGGGACCTTTAATGAAAGTGCCCTTCTTCTACACAATGATATTCCGTACTGTCAACTATTTGTCCATACCTCGCTGCATTACACTGCAGCCCGTATCCACTTGAATAAGTGGTTTACAATATGTTCTTTATATCTCTCTCCTTCTCGAGCATTTTCTATCCCAGACTTTACCTTTCTTGTTTCATCCTTACCACCACCACTTCTGTTACTTGGTGATTTTAACGCCCACCATTTCCTCTGGGGGGGGTCTCATTGTGACTCACGTGGCATCCAGTTGGAGGCTTTTCTCGCCTCACCCCCTCCATGTTTTAAATACGGGTACTTCCACCCATTTTGATCCTCGTACTCATACTCTCTCTTGCATCGATCTATCAGTCTGCTCTTCCTCCACTGCACTAGACTTCACCTGGTCTGTTCTACCGGACTTACATGACAGCGATCATTTTCCAATCATTCTTACTTCTATTCACCACCTTTCCGTAGCCCTCGCTGGCAATTTGATCGGGCAAATTGGGATCTTTACTCACACCTCACTGCTTTTAGTGAGGTTCCTTCTTCATCCTCCATTGATGAGCTCCTACACCTCTTCTCGATGTCAGTTTATACTGCAGCTTCTCATTCTATACCCCAAACCTCAGGCAGGCATTCTCAGAAGTGCGTGCCTTGGTGGTCTCCTGCTTGTGCTCGTGCAGTACGTTTGAAACTCGCTGCATGGGGCAGGTACCGGTACAACAGAACCGCTGAGAGACTTCTTGATTTTAAGCAGAAGCGTGTGATCGCTCGCCGTGTCATCCGTGAAGCTAAACGCACTTGTTGGCAAGACTGTGTTTCCACCATCACCTCTG